AGTACCAGTTGGGAGGCTTTTGATATAAAGAAAAAAGAGCAGATGCTAAAAATCGAACTCTGAAGCACTCTCTCTGGACCCAGATTTGTTTGCTCACAGCAACATGACAAGCTCTGACCAAGATCAGAACAACCTACGTTTCTCACAAGTGATTTAACTGAAACACCTGCTTGTCAAGGATGCCCTAATTTAAGTGTGATGCTGGACAAGGTCTTACCTGAGAGAGCCACTCCTCGTCCTCCTGACCGCTGTGGTCCGATGCCAGGCTGTCGGATGACTCGTGGCGTGTGATTGGACCTGGGCTTCCTGGGGGCATCGCTGAGGGAAAAAGACAGACACATAACAAATTATTATATAACTTAGAAGTTATTTCCAGAGATGATATTTATAAAAGAGAAATGGCGAAAGCTAATTTACTGTGCCAAAAGTTTAATATCATTGAGGGGCTGTTTAAATCTACTTCTCTAAAATAAAAAAAAAAACTGTTAAAAGAAAATAAAGGAAGAACTGGAGAAAATGCAATCCCATGTTTGTGGTTGTCTCATTTGGGCATATGGGTGCGTGCCAGTGTGTGTGAAAAAGCGAGTGTACAGTAAAGTGTGAGAGGGACAGAAACAGTGTGTGCATGTGTGTGTGTTGCAGAGAGACAGTGACAGAGAGACCCAGAGACAGATGGGGCTCCTGCAGGCTTGAATAAGCAGGCGTGGAGAATGAGGCCTAATGTGTAGAATCAGTCCTTTCTCTGTCTCCCACCTCAGGGATGAGTTTTTTTTTTTTTTTTTTCTCAACACAGGAATGGCTAATAAACTTGTCAAGTCCACATCTGGAGCACAGGAGGCGCTCCTGTCTTCATCCACACGCACGTGCCAGGTGTTCACACACCCTTGATGAAGGCAGTTTGGTGTTTGACACCTCTGAAGCGAATGTCACATCATTCCTCACCCCTGCCTTACCCCAACACACACACACACACACACACACACTTTTTTCTGCCCCTTTCATACACCTGCTTCTAAAACAGCACCCCTTGTATGTATAAATGTGTCTGAAAAAAGACTATGTTCAGACGAACTGGGCAGTTACTGAACAGACAAAGGCAATGGTATTGACACTTAAACCGTGAAGAGAAATGGATTAAAAAGAAAACAACTCTTGTTGCAGACTGAGTAAACCCTCTGAACCCCAAGTTTCTGGATGTTTTTTTTGCTCTTGCCACATTTTTACTCATTGTGGGATCATTTTTCATTGCAAGATAAAGTTCTATACCTCCATAGAAACAGCAGAATAATGACAAGGAGTAAAGAGAGCTCTGTTGTCTTTTAGTTGTTATGTCATAAATCATTAAAAAATAATAATTAAAAACTACTCTACTGCCTCAGACATCAGCTCTGGAAAGTATTCTACCATGCAGAATGTACATTCCAACAACTTCCCTAAAATTGAACAATCATTTCAAACCATGCTGCATTTATTTTATTGATCAGGTAAATTCTCTTTTGTCTCTCTAACTGGTTTCCATCATTGTCTTCTCTCTGTGGTGTAAATACACAGCCTGCAGTTCATTTAAAATGCCTTTCAGTTTTGTATCATGTCTGTCTCAGCTGTGTCAAACACAGAATCTCAGAGAACTTTGTTTTTTTCCCCATTTTTTGCTGTTTTCTTTTACAAACGTGTTACAGCTTAATTAAGGTGAATTTTTAAATCAGACATCAATCAGTAAAATTAAGTGATTTTCTGAAATATCACAATTTTCAGCATAGATTTTGATCATTTCCCAGCCAACCAGAGATGATGAGTTATAGGACTGCTCGAAAATTAAAAACGGATCGATTCAGTTTTTACACTTTCTTGACGATCCATCCATCTATTATCTATACACCGCTTAATCCTCAGTAGGGTCGCGGGGGGGCTGGAGTCTATCCCAGCTGACTCAGGGCGAAGGCAGAGGACACCCTGGACAGGTCAGTCTATCACAGAGCTACACTTAGAGACAGACAACCAAGCACACTCACATTCACACCTACGGACAATTTAGAATCACCAATTAACCTCAACATGTTTTTGGACTTTGTGGAGGAAGCCGGAGAACCCGGAGAGAACCCACGCTGCACGGGGAGAACATGCAAACTCCACGCAGAAAGATTCCGGTGCCCTCACCGGGACGCGAACCGGCAACCTTCTTGCTGCGAGGCAACAGTGCTACCAACTGCACCACCCTGCAGCCCTTTCTTGACGATAAATTATGCAATTTTAGCGATGCTTTAAAGATAACACGATGGCAGGTTTTGGAGTTCAGAAGGTTTAGGTGTTTAATACCTCAACACAGTTTGAACAAATTGCACATGACCTTGTCAGTAGGACAGGACTTTTACTGCTATAGAAGTGAACAAACATAAACATAGCACAAGTGGCACAAGATAATGGAAGAGAGAGGAAGGGTGATGATGGGTGAAGGAGATAACTCTGGAAACAAAAGTCGTGATTTCTTTCTATGTTCTTGTCTGCTTCCTGCCTTGATTCTGAATTCAAATGCTTCTCAGTATCCTCAAGTTATACAGCATGGTAAATACATTCTACAGATCTAGTAGACTGGATACACACATATATGTTTAAATGATTTAAAACTTTCTTTTGTAGTAGTTGTTTTGATCCTGATTTTACAAATGTCAAGGGCTTAATAACTTCAGACATGAACATCAAACAATTGTGGTTAATGACGTAAATTGAAGAAAACACGTAATTAAACTTAGCTAATTAAACCTTTTGTTTTAGATTTTATTAACTTTTTTTTCCTGTTGCTTTGACAGTTACTTATTTTTGGTGTCAAAAGAGTTCTGAAATGACTTCTAATTTGATGTACACACATTTAATAACAATAAAAGTGAGCTACAAATGTGTTCGTATTCATTTTCAGACAACCATAGTACTTACAGATTTCACACATGTGTATCTCTAAGGTTTAGAATAATTGTGAGAGCTGCATCTGTATGACAAAGACCTAAGTTCTGGTCTCATATGCAAGCATGATGTTTATATGAGCGATTGCATTATGAGCTTAGAGCATTCAGCTATTATAATTCCTCTAATAAAGTCTGTTTGTACATTAAGAACTAAACACTGAAGAGGCAATAAACCACAATTATTATGATTCTAGGTCGATTTAGTGGAGTTAATTAATAAATATGTCAAAAACTAGTGTCTGAAGAATCAATACTACAGTGTCCAAGGTGTAATAAACACCTTTAAAGTGATTTGTATCTTTAAGTTCTCATCCCTGCATTAGAATAAAGAGTAGCTAAAACTATGATGATGTTTCATGTGGTGTTGTCCATCACTTGTTTTAAATTTATTACACAATTAAGACCAAACTAAAAATTAAAAAACTTAAAGGCGGAAATTGTAATTATTTCTCAGAAAAATCACAACTGAATATTTTCTCCAAATCATTCAGGCCCAGTTGAAAACAACACAAACCATGTTCTGATGCACTGAATAACCCCAGGAAATAAAAGCAAAACTTCCTACATGCCAGGTATTCGCTCGTACATCAAAAATACTTTTGTTGGGTGAACTGACCCTTTAATGACCTAACGATGCCACGCAGAGGGAAAGTGAATAAGGGCTACAGAAAGAGAGAGAGAGAGAGAGAGAGAGAGAGCGAGGCAGAGAAGGTTCCTCATGTCCTTTTAAAATGGAAGAGAGAAGAACAAAGCCTGCGTTGTGTTACTTATTAAACAAAATCACGACTCCCCTATTTCCTCCCCCTGCTTCACTCCCACTGCCTCGCTCTCCCTCACTCTCTCTCTCCTTGCTCTCTGACCCTTGGGGCCAATAGCTGTTCCCTAATTAATTATTGATGTTCTGAAGCAGTTGGTGGACTGGCTGGATCAGGTTTCCACCGGGCGGGTGTAGGGGGCTTTCAATGGCCGGAGTCGCGGCCAGGCTCCGTTGTGGGGAACTAGTGGTCATCCCCATGGGTCAAGCAAAGAGACAACCTTTCGTGTGTGTGTGTGTGTGTGTGTGTGTGTGTGTGCGCGTCAGCAGCCAGACTGACACCGGCAGTTACAGTCATATCTACTCATCTCAGCGTCCAGCTCGCCGGCTCCTCGGCCTTCTGCTTTTACAACGCTCATTATTGGCTCTTAAAAGACAGAACGTCAATGCAATTTCACAGAGAGCAAATTTTTTAAGTGCAAACTTATTGCGCCGCACTTAAGAAAAGGAGTCCGAATGTATGGCTGGAGTCACGGTCGAAATGGTTGTGTTTTGTTATTGATGGATTTAAAGACACATCAGCAATTGTGCAAGGAGCGCGGTATTATTATTTCAAAAAGATCCGAGAGGAATAGAAAAGGACCACGACAGTGCAACGATAATAATCCGAACAAATATGTAAACTATGGCTCAGTACAAATGCCAACGGGACTGAGCAGAAATATGAGAGATTTTGTAAAAATGTACAGAATGTTTTGTCTCCTAAAATAATTTTATAATGTCATAATAATTTTTTTGAGGGCGTGAAGAATGGAAAAATAATCTGAAAAAAGACTCTCAGATTTTCGCAAGCTAAACACACAATTTCTAATTTAAAGAAAAATAGTAGCAAAAAAAAAAAAATAGTGACAACTCCAGTGTGTGACAGGGTTTTCTGACCATAGGTAGCACCAAATTCAACGAAACATGCAAAAACTCTACATTGCAAAAACAAAACAAAACAACAACAACAAAAAAAACAATATCTGAGTTTATGTTATGGCACGACACCTCAATGAAACTAATAGTGAATACAAAATGAATACAAAAACAATCTGTGGTTTGTTTGAATATTGAAGATTTACAATAAATTTTGAATTGAAAACTTAAAACCTTTTTTTTTTTTTTTTAATCTTTTTATTTTTCATAAACAGCAACTAAGTATTATTTGAGAAATGTATTTTCTGAGTACTTGATAATTAAAAAATAAATAATGGTGAGTAATGATTTTGACCTCTAGCTCCCACTGTGGCAACTCTTTGCCTAATATCTATCTGTGGTCTGCACCGTAAATCAGTGGTGATGTTTCTATATTCATTTTGCATCAGTGTAATAATGGTATCTTGATATTTTAGCTATTACATTTGCAGGATTAGCCAAAAACACAGAAAGAAATTAAATGGAAAATGTACATTATGAGTACAATCACAACTCATAAATTATCCAATTACGAAGGTTGATTTCTAAATTAATTTTTAATACTTAAAATATAATTTCCAATTAACCCATAACAGGAACTGCTGTGTGCTTATCATTTTGTTTTCTGTCTTCGGGTGAGGTGATGATGTGCTTGCATGGCCACATAAGGAGAAGAACCACATTACCGGAGAACAGAGTTGTCTGTGTCACAGTCTTTATTGACTGTGGAGAGAGTGGTGTTTTGCTGCGCTGAAGGCTGGTAGCCAGTGGCCTGTTAGCCAGAGCAGTGAAGCAGGGAGTCAGAACAAGAACAAAGGCTGCCTAGGTATTGATGTAGCCCGACCTCCCCGGGACTGGGGGCCGGGGGCTGGACAGGCCGATCTCCAGGGATAGATAAGGGGCTAACAATCTGATAGATCTGGAGAGCTGGCTGCACGCTGGACAGAGGATAGCCGTCTTGTCTGGGCCGTCTGCTCTGTTCACCTTTATCTCATTCATTTGTATTTTTTTTTACAGATTTATTTTGTTGTCCTTTATTTTTCGTCTTTGTAGTTGTACCCGCCGTAGCTGGCTGCCAGACATTTCACTTGCGAGGCTCCCTCTCGACTGCTCCACCTGTCTGTCTTCTCACTTTCCTCTCTTCTCGCTTTCCTCTTTTGAGTAGTACTCTGGCAGATAGGTGCTGGCATACTGACAGAGTGGGATAGCTTAGTCATTATATATCATTCAAGGCGTATTTGACTGGCAGTTCCTTCATTCAGCCAGCGCTACACTTACCCCATCCTTTCTCTGCCTCTCTTTGATTACTGACCCAGTCATGGCGCCATGGTTTCTCTTTACCAAACGCCTGATGCTCCAAAGCCTTCACTCTGGCCCCTCTCTCGGAGCAATTAGATCTATTGACGAGGCAACTGTGGCTGGCCTGTCATGGGCCTCAAAGTCCCAAGAGAGCTGCCAACCCAGCCAGTCAGTCAGTCTCCACAATTAGCACATTATATGACAGGTAGGGAGGGGAGGGCTACGGCCAGAAAGCATAGCCTCTGCTGCCGCTAGCATCGCCAGGCTCAAAGGAGCCAGCCAGAAATCTAGGTGGTAAATTATTCACCGGTTTGTTTGCTTCAGAGCAACTTTGCGGTGAGGGTGAGAGGTGTTGGAAAACATACTGCGGACAGCTCGATAAATATCACCCCCAAAAAATAATCCGTGGAAAAAAAACAAAAAAAAACAACTCACTGTAGATAAAAAGCCTGAAGTGAATGAAGCTGATGAGGGTGTGAAAACGATTACCTCGCTCTGACACCTTTGGCCCAAGACAAAAAAGAGCCCATTCACACATACTTGTGGGGACGCAGTTGGAAATCCTACGCTTCCACCTTTGCTACAGATAGAGGATTCCCCAAACACAAAAACTTGGCTCAAGACTGCTTTTATTAAGCCAGATCGAACTACAGCATCTCCTCTATTTGTGAGTATACTGTATAATGTGTGTCTCTCTCTCCCTTATCTCTCCAAGGCTATGCTGTGCGTTGCCATCCTCTGCAGGGCTGAGTGCTGCCAGTAGCTGCTACAGATGGACAGGTGGAGATAGTGACCATGAAGTGGCGCCACCGCTGCCTTTTATCATCCCGTCCTGGAGGCTCCGGTCTGGCCTGACCCCGGCCCTTCCTCTCCCCTTCCTATTCCTTTCCCTGCATACTGCATTTTTAATCAGCCTGGGTCATCCAATATAGAGCCACGAGACCGGAGACCATGGCCTGTCAATCAAGTACTGCCACCTCTTTGCCTTGCACCACCTTCCTAGAGACATGGTCTGTCTGTAAGACAATTAGCTGTAGGGGATATTTATAGCGACTTCGTGCCCTCATTGTTTGACTCTTCCCGTACTTCTGTTTCTTCTCTAACAGTAGCATCTTTTTTCAGTTAAGTAGGCAAATTTCATTCAGCTGTTTGCAATGTTTTTGTCCTGTAATGGTTCTATCAGCAATGTAAATTAGACCTAAATAGCACAATTTGTTCTGCAAGTAAGAACTCTGTCTTTTCAGTTTCCTCTTAGTGCCCTGATCCTTATGGTCAGCACAGGCGCCTGGACAAGGGGCTTATGGCTGCGCTGAAATTCATCCTAAGGTCAAATTGACTCTTTCTCCTGGATCACTTCTCCGCTGTGCTGCCAAGAGCCCTGGAGGAAACGGCAGAGGAGAGGGCTGGCAAGGGGACGCATGCTGAGAAACAGGATGTTGAGAGTCTCTGCCCGGGTGCAAAGCACAGAAATGGAAGGTGGCACTGCAAGAGCAGCTCAGTCGGTGGTGGTGTATAGGATGCTGACCTGGAGGGGAAATGGCAGGAGCACAAGAAGTGGGTAGAGGACTGAACAATTATGTTTATAGCGTCTTGACCTCGCATCGGTTCCCACTTGGTTGGTTATGGGAATAAAGAGCCACAGCGTTATTATCTGGCTATTGTTAATTGGATGCAAATGTTAATGCAATGAATCCCTCTCATTATGCAGCCAGTTCCACTGCCCATGCTGGCAGAGAATGGTGGAATAAGCTGACGCCCGAGCCCGTCACTTCAACGCGTTCTCATCGCTCTGACACTAGGAGAGACCATTAGCACTAATTTGAGAAAATATCCTACCAGTTAGACCTGGAGCACTGCAGAAGTCAATGGAGACGAGTAGAGAGATTATAGTAAACACAGCTACCACTTGCCCTGGAGCACCCACAGAGCTAATTACAGATTTTGTATGTTTATAATTATGGAGTGAGCTCAAAACGCCAGCCTAGTCCACGGGGGTGGATTGATTCCGTGTGTGGCCATCCGTGTGCACTCTGTGCTTCAGCGAAATGGCCTTTCAGATGGCAACCTAAAGTGCTCACTGCTCTGTACTTGTTATTGAATTAGAGGGAGTTTAGGGTGTCAGCTAATTGGTCTGAGTGCGGCATCTTATAGCATTGTGCTGGCATGTCCTGAAGCAGGCGTGGAGTGTGGCGGCCAAAGGATGGTTTCAAGGTGCAGCACAGAACAAACAAACCGGGATTATTTCCGACAGGTCGAAGAGGATGCGAAATGGTAAAAATGACAGAAACGTCTTTTTTTCTAAGTCTCTGAGAGGGGAGATGTTATGGATGCTGACTAGAAAGGTCCCTTCTCAGCATGTGGCACCAATAAGAGGCTGACGACCTGCTTTCAACACAGTCAACATGAAAATCAGCAGGGAATAGGGGTCACCCCCTTGACTAATGATGCATACAGTACATACAGAAAACATACATGGTCGTGAGCCTGTACAAGCAAAACATACAGAGACCTCTATTTGATGAGACGTGCTATGAGTGCATACAGTACATGGAGTCTAGACAACAGTATATTCAATACAATTTGTATCTAAACTTTGCAGCAAATTAAAAAAAAATGCAAATAAGCACAGCTGCAATGTTTGGGATTAATATTACATAAAATCTGTTTAAATCTAGGCTTAGGATTATGGACATGGTTGAGTTTACACTGTTAATAATACTGCCTGTAGGGAGCCTGCAGAACTTGAATCTATAATTGTAATGGTTAAAATTTTTGCTTGCCACAATTTTCATGTGACCAAAAAAACTGGTGTCACCTTTGTGTTTTCAGTGTCTAATTAAGTTGCAGTGTACATTTCATGCCACACTTCAGTATTTTTCTTTCTATCCTGATCATACTTCTGTCACAAAAATAAGAAAAAACAGAGCAGCTTTAGTATGTGCACTTTAGAGAGACTGTTTGATTAGCATCATATCGTGTAAAGACTAATCCAAACCAATGTAGACCTGCATAGTTACAAAAAACACAATCCTAAAGCCCCCATGTACTTGTAGTAAATGTAGTGCAATGACATTCTTTCCATCCTTATTGGGATCATAATGAGCGTACACCTGAAACACACGTTCCTGGAGCAAATCTACATTGATGAACATCTTTCCCCTGATTTAATATGCATTTATGCTTCACAAATGTTAATTTGCATTTTATTTGAACACAGTCAGATACTGTGAATAAGCTGGTTTGTGCGAACAGACGAACACCAAAAGAAAGCTGTGTTTGACACTTACCAGCCAGGAGATACTGGTAGTACTGCACCAGATCTGAGGCCAACACGAGGGGATGACTGGAGTTGAAGGGCGGCTGCAGCTCATTCCACTGTGGAGTCCTTTTCAACAAGAAAAACATCTGTAAGACTGACGGTATTTGAGACACTTTTATTCGGATAAAGTGATCAACGTAGTGTTACCTGGCCAGAGTCCAGCAGGCCCTTGGACAGGTGCTCAGCTCTAAAGGTGTATCGTCACTAATCTTTTGAGCAGTGCTTATTGGTCGAGGCTCAAGGACATGCTCCACCAAGTTACCGTAGCAACTAATGATGTACAGTGAGTCGACAACTGACTGCCTGGACTGATCTGTGAAGAGGATGAGAAAGAAGGCGGTGATATAAAAACATTTCTAAAAATTGTGATTCTTATTCTTTAAAACAAGGGAAACTTAAAAGGGTTAAAACATTTGTTAAGATTCTGTATCCGTTAGTCCCATGGGTACTGTGTTTTGGGGAGACTGTTGTTGGTGTGGATATTGACACAAAGAGCATCAGTAAACATGGTCTCATCTAACCTTTCTCTCGTTTCATGTTCGGGTTAGTGATGAACCAGGAGCGAGATGAGGCAAAGATGGCGGCCACACAGAACTCTCCTCCGCTGGACTTGCTTGGCGAGATCTGAGGGGGCGGCTTAGCTTTGCTTCAGGAGGGAATGAAGGACAAAGTTAAGACAAGCATAAGCCCGTGCTGCGGTATCTGTGGCCGATACGGTGCACGGTCAAACGTCATACTCAAATCGAATGAATTGTTTAAGTACTGTAACAAAATGAGAGCTAATGCTAAATTACCAGTTTGTCAGAATTAAGATCACATTTCCCATAAAGCATTGCAAAATAAGGTAAACATTATCCTTTCAACTCTACATATCACAGTTCTTTGTCAGCTCCCTTTGTATAAGAGGAGCACACTGTCCAGTGCTGTGAGGAAATCCAAGAATCTTCCCTCCCAACTGACTCATGCTCATCAATGATCTCACTGATTAAATATAAAGAAATATATGCTTCTCAACTTATATGTATATCACTTATTAAGACCAATATTTACATTTGTTCCATGAAGAGAATCCATCAGAACGGAAGCTTTTGACTGTTTGACTTAGAAGAAGTAATGACTTTTAACAGTTCCACACAAAAAATCCAACACACTGTACACAAGTATATGAAAGTTACACAGCACCATCACATAAATAATAAATACAAAATATAAAAGTGTGCTGCATGCAAGGAGCTAAGCGAGGGTAAGCTGAAATGCCGGCTGAATAAAAGATAAAAGCTGGAAAAATGAATTTTACTTTGACACATATGTTGGCGTGATAAATATTCAGGAAATAAACAAAACGTGTGCCTCAGACATGCCCAGATCAATACACACTTGATCCACCATTCTAGATCATTTTCTGCTTGTAGCATGTATGACAAATATCCCTTAATCGGATGATTTCTAATGGCTCTTGGCGTCAGATATTTTTGAACAGACACAAAGTATTTTTTATGGTCTATCAAAAACAAATACTTCAGGAAGGTGATATTGAAAATACAGGCCCCAAAGTAAAAAAATCAGTTCAGCCAAAGTGAACACACCAGTGATCACAGAAGTTAGAAGACTTGTGATCACTGGAACAAACCACCTGTGATTTTCAATTAGTCTATTTGCATGAACATGGTTAGAAAATGAGCTGTGAACAGCAGAGCGATCTCAGTTGTGGACCTATGGGCTGTCTGCGTGACTGCACCGTGGCTCGACATGGAAAATAATTACAAGACGAATCTAAAAATTGGATTGTGAGACTTCGCAAACGTGACAAAATGACCAACTAAACATCAGTCCAAACACAGCTGCAGCACTAATCAGGAGGTATAGAAATATCCACAGTGCCACTAATTAGCTGTCCTACCAAAATGACGCCACAGACAGCGCACTAGTTGCTTATTCCGGCTTTGAAAAACCAGACGAGCAACTGGTTCAGACTTGGCACAGGGGTTATCAACGGAAATCAGAGTTTCTGTGACAGTTCAGACAGTGAGAAAGACACTGCATAAAATCAATGTCTATAAATGCTGTCCAAGAAAAAAACAACAAAAATACTTGCTTGCTCTTCAGGACAAGCTGCAAGACGAAACTTTGCTAAAAACATGACATGAAGCTTGATGAACAGTGGGAGCATATCTTTTTGTCAGGATAAATTTTGCTTAGCTCAAATAGGGTCCATTATGATTGGTGGAACCCTGGCTACAACTACCACTGTGAATGCCCACAGTGAAGGATGGAGGTGAGAGTGTGATGAAAGGGGCAGCGTGAGTGGAAAAGATGTTGGGGAGATGACATTTACAGATGGCCCCATGAACGGCAGTGGATATACTAAAATACTGGCTGACAAGATGACTCCTGATCTGCAGAGGCTTGGCAGAAGATGAATAATCCAGCATGATAATCATCCAAAGCACACTGCCAAAATCAGTTTCTAAAGAGGAATAAACAAAAAAAAACTATGACCTGGCCAAGTATGTCGCCTGACTTGACTACACCTTTGGAGGATTTTACAGAGAAAGGTAGAGAAACACATTCTCTAAAGAATGGAAGAATATCTCTCCAGCAATCCGGTATCCTCCATGACAAGGAGAATTGAGACTGTCATCAATGGTTAAGGTGGAAAAACAAGGTGTTGACAAAATAAAAGATTTGAATCTCAGCAATGAAGGTGTACTGATGTTTGTATTTTAATAATATAAATGTAAACTTGTAGGTTTTAGTTTTACATGTGAGCTACAGAAACTTAGAAGGAAGACAATTACTGTGATGTGGTACAATTCTCCTTTGTTAGGTTCTATTCAGACCAATGATCAAAAATTCTGCATTCATTGCAATCAAGCCACCTTGTTGGCACAGTGCCACCTCTAAAAAGAAGAAAAAAAAAACACCTACACTGTAGCTAAACTCAAAAATACAATTCATTACATTTAAACATTCAATACTGTAAGTTTGCAACCAAAAAAAAAGCAAAGATTTCAGCTAACCAGCCAAACCACTGATCCCCAGCTCATCATCAGTGGTGAACATTATCAACACAATCAGTTAAGGCAGTATATGTTCAGCACACTTTAAGGGAGTTTTGTAATATACAGTAAGCTTAACTCCATGTTTATTTGCTGCAAGTCATGTATGCTTCTTCAATGACACATCTGCTCTTTCATATGGTAGGAAAGCATGGCATTAAATCACACTGGATATACATGATCTGAAAGGTATTTTAATTAATACACCTGTACAAAACAACAGCTATCGCTGGAGGTGCACCTCATAAAAGCAGTGTCCAAGCTGCCTCCCCTGGTTGTCTCACTTTGTATTGGCCACAAGAGAGAATTTATTGCCAGTTATTGGATTATTCAGCATGTCAGGACTGTTTGAGATGAAACGGACATAGAAAGGGTTCTCAGCTGCAATAGGGCTCCCCATATGGTAACAATCAGAGAACAGTAGCGAGATCTCGTATAATTGTCCAGCCTTCTAACCAACCTGGACAGTAAAATGTGGTCACAGCGGATCAGGCAAGAGGTGGGCTAAGGCCTTGACGACCCATGGTAGTGTCATACGCTCCCAGATGGGTGCTTAACCTTCACCTTTGGGAAAACCACACTGGTATAAAAGCAACGCATTCACGGTCTACATCCAGCTGTTAAGAGAAAAGCCATGGTTGTCAAACAATCAACAACTTTGTTACAATATACAATAAATTTTTAAAACTGCTTTAACTTACACTCAGTTTTCTGCTGTAGAACTTTGTGCAGGTGTTTTATATTCTTAGTTTATGTGGAACAAATATAAGAAGAAATGGATAGTTGGCATAAGCAGAAGCAGCTCCCACAGCTGACTCAAAAGAAGAGAGAAAGTTCCAAGTACAAAACTCAGTTAACAACAGGGTAACATAATGCCACTAATGCAAAGCATTAAGGTTTTCAAGAAGTGCCCAGCCAACCTGTGACGTAGGTAAGGAAAGCAATAGTTTCTGCAATGCTGGCCCTCATGCTACCTGCAGGCAACAAGTGTTACATCTGTTTCTATAGCTGCTTCTTGTTTGTAACATGCTCGGCTTAAGTCTCTATCTACTTTGAACAAGATGGTGTACAGACAGATGGATGTGAAAAAATACAATGAGGGAAAGAAAGCAGATTAATTAGGTTTTAACTTTGCAGCTGAATATTTGTACTTCGATGACATACCTCACATCTAGTTCTATAGGTAACTTTGGTCCATACAAGTTGTCAAGCTAATGTTTTGACTATATATGCCTAACTGGTCTAAACTTCTACTGCTAGTACTTTCATATAAGAGGCACAGAGACACATGCTTTGACATTGACTAAATAGCTTTTGATTTATGGTGAAGTCGATTGCCACTAACCAAAAATACAAAACTTAATAAACCATGTAATACAGTGTAGTGAAGACTGAAGTTCAACGGTGGTGCTTAAAGAGGCAGACAGGATGTCCACTAGTTCAACTAACTTTCACAGTACTAGGTGCTGAGAGACTTGTTGCTAGTAAAACCTCGACTTCTGTTACCTCCCTTCAGACTGTCAGCACCTCATAAATTACTCCCTGGATGCAAGGAGATGTTGATGTCTTTGTTTAGCCAACGCTGTGTGAAAGAGGGATCAGGAAAAGGGAAGTGGTGAAGGTAGTCATAAGAAAGGCTTCCATACAAGTTTCTAGCTTGTATTTATTAGTGCTGGGTCAAGAGGAGAAGGCTGAATAACCAAATATCCACAGTAAGCCCCGTCTGTGAAAGGAAGATGGAGAGGGAGATAAAGTCACACTCAGGATATTGCATTGGCTAACTCCAGGTTGCCCTTGTCTTCTCCCCCAAACTCTTCCTCGGGCCTATTTGTCCGTCAGTGCATCCAGAAGATAAAGCATTTAACAAAGAGGTCCAGCTAGCTATCCACGAGCTATGAGAGTTTCCACGAGTGCATTTTTTTCCCCTAAGCATGTTCCTGTTTTTCTGCCTTTCAATCCAACAATCCTGGACCTGTGTCAGGCAAATAAAATAAACTTTAAAAAAAATACAAGAAACTTACTAGAAATGAAAACATCCATAAAACATGTACGATACAGTATGCCTAGTCTTTAAACTTTTAAGAATCCTACGGCGATCCATTAAAGTGAAAATGGCTATAAGCATGCTAAATGGAATTAGAACAGGGGAAACCAGGGATCTGTTGGTTACAAGACACCACATAACTTCTGTTCACCGCTCAAGAAAAGGAACAGATATTCCAGACTTGGCTGTGTGGGAGTTCTGCAAAGTCGAAGTTCTTCTTTGGTGAGGTGTTTAATTGCCAAAAACCCTGCTGTTCCATCTCTCCCATTGCTGGAAAATATGTTAAACCCTCAAAGGCCCTGTGGTTCACTGGTTTCTATAACCCAGGAAACACAAATCCTATTTGAGAGCAAGCTCATGTTGGTTTTCAAGGGTGAGAGTTCGAGGCTGAGGAATATACCTCACAGCGACTTGCTATGCACTGGAAGATATTCTAACCTTCTCGCAGTCTTCATAGTGACTGTGGATGTAAATGGCTAAAACAGAAATTAAAGCGAAACAAGGCTCACATATGTTTGGTCATCACAAAGGAAGAATGACGAT